TTTTTGTGGAATATTTTGTGGAAACTGTGAGCCCTACCAGAAAGAAAGAAAGAAAGAAAGAAAGAAAGAAAGAAAGAAAGAAAGAAAGAAAGGAAGGAAAAAGGAAAAATCAAGAGGAAACATCACCAAAAATTTTACAAAATATTTATATTTAAAAAAAAGTGTTCTTTTGAACTTTTTATTCATCACATGCAGACTGCAATAAGAGTATATAACTATCAAGTAAATGTTACTGTTCATAGCACAACTAATGGACCTTTTTCACATTTCCGGGTTTCTCAGCAGCGGTAGTAGTCATAGTTGGGTAAACTTGAAGAGCAGTGAATGGGAGAGCACCACAAATATATTTTTTGCATTCCCAGTTGCTCAAATAGCAAAAGAAAAACTCCACGATAGTGTTTTCATGACTTTCAATAAAAGGAAAAAAATTGAGAGAGACTGATAACGGTTGTCAGAAGAGAGAACGATGTCAAATGTACCGTCCCTCCCATAGACGCTGCATTAGAAACACCCTCGCATTAGCGTTAACTGTTTTTTTTTTTGTAATTTGATGCAAAGGTGATATAATACAAAGAATAGTGTTATAAATGTAGACATTTTTTTAAAAATACAAATATGAAAAACTTTTGAGGATTTACGATGCTGATGACCGTTAAACACGTCATCACAGTCTTGTGAATAGGGTCCATTTGAACTGAATACTCTTATGAGAAATATATGACTTTTTGTTCTGAGCACAGTTTGAGACTGTCTGAGAAATCTGAGATTTCTCAGATGAGACACAAGAGTTGACTGCATGGGGGCTTTTTCTTAGAGAAGCAGGAAACTAACACAAAAATGTAATCTCACTCTCTTGGAGAAACAAAGATATTATTAAAGAGATTTGTGATTTTTTTCTTTATTATGAGCACCTGTCTGTCCTTGTCATTCTACAATACAATATCTATTAATCTTAAAACATCTGCAATTCTAACACTTCAAAATGCTGCTAAACTGTTAAAAATCTGCATAAACAATGCATAAATACCACCTTCAACAGGCATCAGCTACTCAACATATATATATATATATATATATATATTATTAAAACTTCTGTTTGTGCAAAGCAGAGACATGACTCTAAATGAGATTAAAATATGTAAGTGATATTAAAAAATAACTAACTGAGATTTGACTCCGCTTCAGTCGCTTTTAACATGCACGCCAGAGACTAAACGGTTCAATTACCAGCCCATCAATAATACAGTAGCCTGAACGAGGCTTCGAGGGGGAATGGGATGGGACAGGGGGATGAGTAAGGAATGCAGGGACGCTTTGCGCTCAGAGGCAGAAAGCATGCATTTTGGCAAGAATAGAAAAAGATGTGGGCAGGTGGAAGACAGCTTTGGAATAGGATAGTGGGAAGCAGAAGTCATAAACCGTCTCTGTCGTTGACAGGGGATGTGGGAGTGAATGAAGGAGACAGAACGTAGATGGATGGGGGCGAGGGATGGCATGGGCGTGGATCATGAACTTGCCGTACGGAGAAGTGGAGAGATTGTTTTTTGATGGAGTGGGAGAGTGGATGAGCAAACTGTAGAATGACATGAAGGCATATTGACCAAGACGTACAGATGGATTATGAAGGAGAAGAAGTGTGAAACAAGATGAGAAAAGAGAGCGAGAGAACTATAATCAATGAAATGAGCTCCCAACCTTAAGTCCCCATTGAAGAGATGGCGGATGACCTTGTGATGCCTGTGAACTGCTATGACAGAGATTAACGTGTCCCTGGTCAACAGTGCAATTTATTTTAAAAGTGCCATCAAACCAAGACCAGTTCCTGAGTATCAACCTGTTACATGTTTTTCTTGATTTTATGGAGTGTGTTCTCTAGTGGAAAAGGTCTCACTTCCTCTCATAAATGTTCTTGCTGGGGCAAAAATACACACCAGGAAAATAACCAAAGGACAGATGAATTATAGTCCATATTGTTTTAATTGTTCATGTCTGTGTTTCAAAATTAATGGTCTAAATATAATGTATCTGTACTATTAATGTTTTCTAATAAGTTGATAGTCTACTAAATCTGAACAAATCAGTGTTTTTGAACAAACCTTTTAAACAAATGAACGTTCACTGAAGTCTCTCAACTTTGAAACATGTGACTGCTTCCCTGCCTTTAAAGACTATAAAGTGAGCAAACAGTTTAAATATGGGTTGTGAAGGATCATTTCATTGGTTGGAACAATCAAACGAACACAGCCCTTCACTAAACAAGACTCAGAGAGTCACTGAATGAGAATAAATCTTGTTTGTGAACTAATTGAATGAACTTGTTTGTGAACGATCTGAACGAGGGATCTGTAGGCCATGTTGTTTTTTCAAGATCAAGCACGTGAGTCAATTTTCAGTTGAGTAAATGATTCATTGACATTCACTCATAATACACAAGACTCATTGGCATAATGCCTTAACCTGTAAAATCAAACCTTTTTTTGTAAACAGATTCAAAAGAGTCACTTAGAGGAATCAAAGTCCTCAGCTCTACTCTCCTGGAACATATCCACTCCTTCTACCCTAACAAGTATCTGTTGAATCCAAATTCCAATATATTTACATCATCAATGTAAGTCCAAACGCCAAATGTTTATAGCTGTAAATATATAAGGACTCGGGAGAAGGTACAAGCTTCACTGTTTTATTCATGTTCTTACCTTTCTGGTTTTACTACCAAACCAAATCACATACAGATTGGCACTCACTTCTGTCTGCTGCAAAACAAATGAAAAAGAAACAAATAATGTTGCTTGCAAAAAGCAATTTCAGTGAAAGCAAACAGTAATGAGAAATGCATTATACTCAGGATTCACTACAGCAAATTAGGCCAGATTGCATTTTTACCAACCAAATGAACTGAACTGTGACGTATCAGATCCACACAAAAAGCTGTAAAGTTCAAGTACCCTAAGATACAGCAGGCGTCTTGCATTGCTAGTCAGTATTTCACAATTTCAGCTATTTAAAACAAGTTCATGACCAGAACGCAATGTTCTACAGATGTGTTGTTGGGCCAAAATACATAGAGCCCAACCTGAGAGCGAGAAAGAAACAAATTGTCCGCACGGCTAAAGTCGTGCAGAAGTCGGCTTTGAAGAATGAAAGAGATCTTTCAAATGCTCGGCAATCACAGATGTGCTGTCAAGTAGGGAGGAGGGGGAGGGATAGAGAGAGAGAGAGACAGAGAGAGCGTAAAAATGTCCCTATATGTGCCACTTCACTACACGTGAGAAGGAACTGGCTGAGTGAGAAATTCCCTTTTGTGTCTCAGCTTTTATAATATTTTTTTTCATTACCCTCTTTCTTTGAAGTCTTTGAGATGAGTGGAAGCCTACGTGCCCTGGACAGCGATCATATTAGGCTGTTATCCGTGTTGAGAGGCCTGAAGTAGAGGGGATTGGAAACAGGCACACCAGGGGGACAGGAGTGTTATTTTGTGGGAACTGACACAGCAAGAGCCCTGGCTACGTTCATTCAGATCTGACGGATGTTGGCAATCTCCCAGGATGAAACTTGGCTGTAGCCAGACAAGATGAATAGAACTTGTGCCCAAGATTATCTTCCCCTGACAAATCTAAAGCTAATTTACTTTTTTCCTCTTGTAGGCAGAATTTTTTATTCCTAAGGCAAAGAAATATCCAGTGTTTGTCATAGAGTAAATACCACACTAATTCTCCTCTGTATATTTTCCAAACAATGGCACACCTGTGTCTATTGACTTTTGTGGTGTGTAGAAGAAGGTGATTCATATGAGCTATTAATGTAGAACATGTTAAAACTTGTTCCTTAACATCTGGATAATCTTGTTTTAAATAAGCTATTTGACAGTTCAATCGGAAGCACTAAAACAATCCGGATTTCTTTATAATTTCAACGTTAAGATAAACCACTGGTCTTTTATTAGCGTGTTATGAAACAGAACACGACACAAAATTGTGAATTCCAAAAAAGGTGCTTATTGGACACACTTTCATGACCTCATGGAGATGCTTATTAAGAAAATCCCAAAGATTAACGAATGAAGTTACAGAGCAAATAAACCATTTCCACAACTTTTCTCATAGCAAATAACCAACATTATAGTAATAAAAGAAAAGTGCATACAAATAATCAAGAAAAACAGGTTGAACATTCATGTACTGTTAAGATTGACTTCGCTGTTTTTATGTTTGGCGTCTCAGAGACCCTAAGAATGCATGTGTACACATAAGCATAATTATTTATTAAAAGTATTGATTTTGAATTAAAGACTTATTTTTCCTCAAAATAATAATAATAATAATTTCCACCCCCAAAAATGTTTTTTGGACCGAATCAAAACCCAGTAGGCAGATATTGCTTACATTTTTAACCCTCTGCTGTACCACAAAGTTGACATGCACTTATTTAGAAATGTAACATTCTTTCTATTCGAGGGAAATTTGGGATCAAAATCAGTAGTATATCTATACACAGAAGTGTTTAAAAAATAATTACATTTATTCAATTATTTACATACAGAAAGTGGTCATATTGCAAACATAAGATGTTTGAAGCATGTTAGCAGTTAAAATGTTGTTTTTAATCAATTCTCATAACATTAAAAAAGTCATTAACAATAACAATCTAGCTGATTATAAAATAGATAACAGAACATGAGAGCTAATAAGCCAAAACTTTAATATGAGCGTGAAATAAAAAGTAAAATTAATCTGACATGGACATTAGTCACAGGAAACATGCAAGAAAAAAATAAAGTGCAAAAATATAAAAGGTCACACTTAATATTAAATCCTATATAAGCACTGGATAAAAAGAAAATAATTTTGCAAATCACACACTGCTTCACTGTCCCTCCAAAGGCTTTCTGTAACACACGTGCGGGGGTCGCAGCACGCACTACTACAGTAGTAATTCCCTCTACCGGCATGCTTTTATCTCAAGCTCAGACAAACCCATCACACAGAAGCCTAAATACTCACAGGAATCTGCTTCATTCTTGTCCACTCGTCCTCAAAAAGACAGACGAACCTTCCTCTTCTGCACAGTCTAATCCCACAGGCGTGAAACACACAGAGTGCTCAGGAAATCCAGAGAAACGTCTACCACAGCAGACGCGGGAGAGAAGCCCCGCCACTAGTGCGCAGAACGGTGCGGAGCGAGAGAGGCACTGGGGAGACATATGCTGCCAAAGCCTCTCGCCTGGCAAAGAAGCTCATTAAGCGAGTGACAATCACTCCCACAAAGCCAGATCTGAGCGCTTTTCCCATAGAGTGCAGAAAGAAGGAGCGATACAGAGAGAGAGCGAGAGAGAGAGAATGAAAGAGAGTGAATGAATTCTGGATGGAAGAAGTTGCATTTAAAGCACTCATGCATGGGGAGACTTGACAACGTTTTGTGCCATGGATGTCAAGATCCATGTTTTGCCTTTTGTAACACTGTCATTATGGTTAAATAGTGTTCATCTGAAGTTTATTTGAGTATTGTTTGATATTAAAAAGAAAGAATAAATATACATATTTTGAGAAAGCTATTAGTTAAGTCTTTTACATTTTATGAAGGCAATGTGAGCAGCACTTGCTGGTACAAGAGTAGCCATTATGATGTTATGGTTGATTGTTAGGACGTTGCTATGCAGTCGCTAAGGTGTTCAATAGGGTGTTTAGTTGCTATGTGGTTTCTAGCTTGTACTGGGTGATCAAAAGTGCCTAGCCCCAAGTCTATGATATCCTGGTCTACAGATATGGGTTGGGTCACTGCTTCATTTAAGTGAATTTCACTCATTTTCTCATCGGCCAGGGTAAGTAGAAGATACATTTTTCATATCCCAAACCCTAAGCATGAACAACAGCAACAGTGATGCTATCCTTAGCAAAAACTACAATACACATCCTTTCAGAAAACTATGTATGATCAAATCTGAGAAAAGCAATAGTTTAGTGGTTTTTAGATACTTTTTCACATTTTCTCAAGAAAATGTCACATAATTAGTTACATTAGTTCATGCAAAAATAAAAAATTCTCTCATGCCGTTCAGTCATTTGGTCCATACAATAAAAGTCAAAGTGTCCAAAGTTATTTGGACCACAGTGTTAAACTGTTAAAAAGAATGAAAAGGCCTACTGCTTTAGAACAACAACAGGTTAAGTAAATGATCACAGAATTTTCATGTTTTCGTGAACTACCCCTTTAAATTATAGGTTCACAACCTTAAGGGTCATGACCCCACATGTGGTCGCCAGAGATGCAAAGGGGACTGTGAAAGATTTCTATACACTGCATCCTGCTTTTTGTACATACATATTTTTTCAGCATACTTTTATAGCTATATGATTCAGATTGTGCACTTTCAATTATAATCAGTAAGAAAAATGAAAATGGATTAAATAACTGAAATGAAACTGAAAAATCACTTTTGAATTATATCATAGATAGCAATAAGATGTTATTCTTAATATAATTTGCAGCCTGTGAGATCATAACATATACACATTAGCTTCTGCATTAGGGGGATGCAAGAATTTTGAATCTTAAAAATGGATCAGCATGGACCAAATAATGATGATAACCTCTGTCTCAAATCCACTTGATTGACATAAGCCAGTGAACAGCAACAGTTCATTTGTACCTCACAAATAGGACTGGATCTCTGGGGATCATGTGATTTGCCGACAGAGCAAATAGCACAGGGCAGGACATGGTCACACAATCTAAACACAAAAGCCCCACCCTATCCTGCAGAGCTGAGGTGGAACAGGCTCGCCGTGATGTGTGATGTGGAATTGGGTGAATGGGTGTGGGGAGAGCTTGAAATCAGAAAGGCTTGACATGTTTGCTTCAATTATGCTGATGTAGGTGCTGCTGACGTGTGTGTCAAATGGAAGAGTGCCCATATAGGTAAAGGTATAATTAGTCTTTCAGTTTTCCAGGAAATGATGCTCTCCATGTGTCAAGTGCTCTCCGTGTGAGGTGAGATCACACAATGTGCCATCAATTACAGGAAACATCATTAAACTTACAGGCGCCATAAACATTCCTAATTAAAATTAAATTAAAATGGATTCTTTCATGTTCTCGCTGTTTAAATGTACCATTAATTTCATTATCTGTGACTCTTACTCACTACAGGGCACAAGATCATCTGACATGCATATTTCAAAAGGTTTTTTACATATTTTTCCATGCAAGATTCTTATTCAGTGTCTGACAGATGTTTTGATCCGCTTCTGATTAGGATAATTAATTACTGAAGTGTGTTTTCGTTAAGCCAAAACCATTTCCCCTTTCCTATTTAACATGCTCAGAATGACAATTGAATAACTAAGGAATTATTACTTAGGGTTTTAGAAAGTAAAAATCATAAATTTATCTTTTTTAATGGTATGCGAATTTTGGTACAGCTAGTATTACTTAGTACTTAGTATTACAACATATATTTTAAATAATCATGGTCAACTGTGAAATGCCATTGTGAAAAACTGCATTACCCATGATTCTGCAAACATCTCTACCAATAGATTGCAACTGTCCGGTTCCTGTTCTCCTTAGGGACATTGAGTTTGACAATATAATTGACAATAACAAAACCTAAAAGACAGATCTGCACCGAAGTTTTCATTCTACTTTTTTGTTGAAGCCATCTGTTTTCATTATTTTAACTTATTTTTTAAATAACTGTGTTTAACAGTGGAATTAGTGGTAAAAACTGCATTACCCATGATGCTATAGAGCTAATTCCACCAATAAGAAAATCCGGCCAGCAAATCACACCAAAAGAGCTTGCAAGGAACACTTCTTTGCTTCAAATCAAAGTTTAGAATATTGTGATTCACCTCATAGCTGGTTGGTTTGGTTCATGGCTTATAACTCTTTAATGAGAACTTTTTTTAAATCCCTACAAGAAAAAAAAATGGGAAAGATGCTTTCAGAATCAAGGTTGCAGAAAAAGTGGTCGGGTACTATTGTTAAGGTGTTTGAAGTAGTTTTATTATGTTGCTATGTGGTTGCTGTGGTGTTATGAAGGTTGTTAGAGTGTTCAGAGTGGCTGCCAATCATCAAAATTATCATTCAAACAATCACAGCACAAACAAGGAAGAGATAAATACTAAGTACTGAGTTAAATGAGTTAGATACTAAGTAGGCTCAATACCAGTAATGTTTGCTTTAATAAGCACAGCGAACAAATATAACATCTATTATTTATGCTAAGCTGTTCTGCAAAGAGCCCATTCATCCAAACTTGGGTGATAAGAAAGACGGCTGATGAACTTCATAGGAATACTTCTTCCTGAAAGCAACAGGGTTAGAATAGAGTGGCGGGAGGGAGTATAGAGAGCGAATGGGAGGGCGAGCTGCCAGTTCCACCAAGCGTAGTCTTCACACAACCAGGCCGAACAAACCTGACACTGTTTTGGGCGCTGCCTAGGGGATCACATCCATTCTTTCTTTTTATTTTCCTCTGCTCCTTGATTTCATTCACTGTTCACAGTCAGAAACCTCTCTCACTTTTCCGATTTGGAGGATTCGGTTGAGGTTGTTTGATCTGTCATTATCATGTTCTACACCCACTTATGTTGTTTGTTTTCTTGCTTGGTAATTGAATAAACTATATATGACTGAATAACCTCACTTATGAAAAGGAGTCAAACAAAAACAACATTGTGTGCTTCGGTTAACATGTCTGTACTAGGAGTAAAAATGAATATTTAAAAATGCTTTCACTTGATACAAGACCATTTAGAAGCAAATATGATTACGTAGCATAATGGTCATACAATACCGTTAGTGCACATCGACATACTTAGGCAAACACAAAATGTCTTTTAAATTTGTCTACTAGGGCTGCTGCTGCTGCATTTGCTGATATATAGCCTATATGAAATTTGGCCCACAAATTCATATGACGTTTTCATTCATGATACAGGAATGAGAGAATGGTCATTGTAAATGTCAACCTCCAAAAAGCACATAAAAGTAGCCCACATGATCGTGTGTGCTATTCCAAGTTTGAATGTTTAAAATGAACAAGAACTAGGAAGTGTCATGTGTCCCCTCAATATACAATATATTCTGCTGCAATATATGAAATTAAGTATCAAATGTGTTATTTTAAATGATTTGCTGGCCATATCCTGTTCAAAAAACCAGCATGTGCTGGTTAGGTATGTTTTGAAGCATGGCTGCTGGTTTGAGCTGGTTTAAGCTAGTCCTTAGCTGGTCATGAGCTGGTTTAAGCTGGTTCTTAGCTGGTCATGTGCTGGTCCTAAGCAACTAGCTCCTGCTCAGGACCAGCTTAAGACCAGCACATGACAAGCTTAAACCATCTCATGACCAGCTTAAACCAGCTCAAACCAGCACCCATGCTTCAAAACATACCTAACCAGCATATGCTGGATTTTTCAACAGGGTATAAAGATAGCGTTGTCTATGTGTCTGTGTGTGTCTCTGTGTGTGTGTGTGTGTGTGCTGGTATATATATAAGGTTTATGAGGACACAAATGTGTATAATGACATGGGTACTACAATGTAAACATGTAAACATACATGGTTTATGAGGACACTTCCTGTGTCCCTGTAAAACAAAAGGCTTAAAAAAAAACATACAAAACAGTGTTTTATGAAATTCAAAAATTGCCAGTAGTTTTCTGTAAGGGGTGTAGGTTTAGGTGTAGGATTGGTGTAGGGCGATAGAAAATACAGTTTGTATAGTATAAAAAACATTACGCCTACGGAGGGTCCCCATAAACCACAAATGCAAGTATGAGTGTGTGTGTGTGTGTGTGTGTAGCTGACTCCACTGTGATGTGTCTCTCTATCACACACACGCGCGCGCACACACGCGCACGCACGCACACACACACACACACACACACCCGATGCGCAAAACCCCGCCTCTCTCTCTCGCGCGCTCTCTCTCTCTCTCTCCCACTCTCTCTCTCGCGCTCTCTCTCTCGCGCTCTCTCTCTCGCACTCTCTCTCGCACTCTCTCTCGCTCGCTCGCTCGCACACACACACGATGCGCAAAACTCCGCATTTGAACAGTCAATAGCAAATACTTAAACTAATAACAAAACAGTAGCTGATTCAGAAGCACCAGATTGTCATAGCAAAGTCAGAATTACCTCCTCTCCTAGGTTCACGAAACGGTCGTCCATAAA